AAAAAAAAAAAAAGAAGTGTCAAATCTTGATCATCATCTAATTTCAGGTGGTCCGTCGTGATCCAAGGATGAAACTAAAGAAGAAGAAGTTGTGTCCATGGAAGTGCAGAAACTGGAGATGGAAACAGAGATCAAAACGAAGATGGGAGCAATCATCAGAACAAGGCTAAAAGGTACCATCCACTGTTGCTTCTGTGATCTATGGAACCGAACCGCCCACCAACCCATCAAAACCCCCCCCGACACACTCACCAAAACTAAAACCAGACATGCCCACACAGATTTAAGCCCTCTATTCTTCTGCCTCTTCTGCTCTCCCTCCCCCTTCATCACACCTTCAGTTTCTGTTCCCACCTGCAATCTTATTTGGTAGCTTTAATAGGAAAGACCTGTGTTGTAATTGAAGATATCAGAGAGAGAGAGAGAGAGAGAGAGAGAGAGAGAGACATTTGGTAGCAAAATAAGAGAGTCGCATTGAGTATAACGTCACGCGTAGCTTATCAAAGTTGGTTTTGTCAATTAAAGGATTATAAATATGGATGAAAGAGAAGGATTGGCACTTGTTGGGAGGGATGAGTACTTGGCGTAGCTTGTATCTGGGGTAGAGTTTGATTGATTTATAGCCTTTGATGACATACCCACCTGACTACTCCCCCTTCTCTTCTTCATTACTGCTTCCCCTCTCCTGTTCAACCCAACTCCGCCTTCTATTCCTACCTTTAATTACTCTTCATTCATATGTCTGAATCTGAACGTATTTAAGGTTACATTAATTTCTAAAGTCCACTCATAAATGAAAACAAACACATCACTATACGAGAGTAACTAAGCCTCTAATCTAGCATTCTACTTTCCTTCTTATAGTTACAACATTCACTTTTGATTTTCAGGGTTTGTGTTAGATTGCATTTGAGTCGCTTCAGTATTTAAACTCAGCAATTTACCCTTCAACTTTGCATTTGGTTTCAACAATTTTACCCCTAATGTTTGCATCTGGTTTCGTTAGGTCCCTCCATTGTATTTACTACTTCTGTTTAATTATTGGAAACATTTATTTTAATTTAGTTTTAAAATTCCTCTCTCTCCTTTCTCCCTGTCCACTTTTCCATCTTTAGTTGCCATCGTGGGAGACCCTAAATTTGACTAAAATGAAACCCAACTTAAACCCTCAGAGAGTAAAAGAGTAATTTTTTAGTGGAAGTAGATTAGTCAACTCTTTCAAATGCATCTGCGTCATAGAAGCATTCATTCCAACTCAGCCTGCCCTGGATTCTTGCATAAGTTAAAAACCACTTATTTCTTACTCATATTTAGAAAAGGAAACAGCCCAACTCTCACAAAAAAGTCCTCCTTTTGAGACACCCAATTAAAACCTGAACAACCAAAACCCTAAACAGATCAAGACAAGACACTCTCTCTTTCTTTATGCAGGCATGGGAGAAGAACTCATGACACCACCTCCTTATTTGGATTGGACAGAATAAAATTACATTAGTTTTGTGAAGAACACAACTGGGTTAGCTTCATATCATTATAATATTAGGAAGCTAAGACAGCAGTTTAAGTATAATTATAATCAATCATATCATATTTTATTTTTTTGAACAGAATTTGAGCAAAAAATTTGGCCTTCCTCCTAAGATTCTGTTCCACACGCAAGCATGCTTCACTAATCATTTTGTTTTTCTTATCTCACTTTCGTCTCTCCGAAGTTAGCAATTGATATGCAAGCTTTGAAGTATATACAATGCAAAATTATGTGGGTTTATGAAACATCAATAGGTCGGGGTTTAAGGGGTTTTCAAACCTGATATTTATCTGATATTTTAAACTCTTTTGCAGGGGAAACTTCTGCGGCCTTGTGACCTAAAAAACTTGAAAAAGAAGATAAACGAAGAATTGAGTGTGATGAAAGAGTTGCATTTATATGTAGTTGATCATCCAATTTGAACAGATTTTTGGATGGCCGTAGTATTTTGATTTTGATTTTGATCCATGGAAGTCATCGAAATGGGTTGATCCATGAAAGCAGAGATGAGAAGAGACATGATAACAAACATGGGTGTAGTCATCAAAATAAGACCAAAAGGTACCATCCATAGTTGTCTGTTTGTAGGATGAAAGCGAAACTCCCACCAACCAAACACAACCCCTCCCACCATGCTTGTCACTGCCATTGAAACCACCCAAGTTGCCATCTTACAGCTTTTCATATTCTCCTTCATTGCCGACTCCATTGGTTGTCCAGCTTCTTCTCCACCCCCTGCAAATCCCCACGTTTTTTGACCCATTACACACTGGGCTCTTAACAAGAACTGGATATGAGTGAAGCAAAAAGAATGAAGAAAAAGAAAACAGAGGGAGAAAGAGATGAGTGCAAAGGGGTTTTGAGGATTTGGCAAGTAATTGTTGACATGATACAAAACGTGAGATTTTATCAAGGTTTGAAATTAGCATCAGCAATTGGCGTAGGTATCTACGGTTAGATTTTTATTGCCATTTATGCTATAATGTGATTTGATTCATTGTTTCTCATAAATCTGAGATCATCTTTGGAGCCAAGTTTTTTTTGTTTTTTTGTTTTTGTAGGTTGAGATGCAAATCCAATGGGTTATTAGTGGGAGGTGAGGTCTGGTTGAGGCATTATTCCAAAAGCTTGGTGCCTCCAGACTATGGAAAACACCCAACAGAATTAAACTTGACCAAAATATCATAAACGAACCAACCGACATATTTCTATGAGCGCAACCTGTTTGTTTCACTCCAACTTTTACTTCAAAACTTCTTTGAACATTCAATTGTTTTTTAATCACATTTTTTTTTTTTTACTTGTGCTTGAAATTTTATGTTGGATGGTTTATTCAAACTTTTATAAATAGTTTTGATGGCGGAAACTATTTAAGAAATGTATTAATAGGAGTTGAGGAGACGTAGAGTTGATGAATGGAATATTCTAAGAATTAATGAATGGTCAATTTTAAAATCATCACGAAAACAAATGAACAAACTTAAAAGCAAAAGATGTGGAATTAAAGATGAAAGAAAGAAGCCCAGCCACGGAATATTCTCCGTTGGCTCTCCAAAATTGCAATGCCAAGAGGCTAAGCATCGGATTTGGGACGACGACGGACGGACGGACCCACGTTATCCAATACGCCTCTCTTTCTTTCTCTTCGCGCGCTTCATTCCTCCCTTCCATTTCTCTCTCCTTCTCTTCCAATTCCCACCCTTCTTTTTCTGTAATCCAAACAAACTTTTTTTTTTTTTTTGAGATTGTTCCCTCGAGTCTTTAACCGTAAGGGATCAGCAAATTTGGGGTGTTTTTTGATTTCTCCATTTTTATTCTTTTTGTTCTTTTTGTTTTGCCGACGTGGTGGAGAATGAACGTGAAAACTCCGGCGACGAGGACTCGTGTTGGGAAGTACGAGCTCGGCAAAACCCTCGGCGAAGGCACTTTTGCTAAGGTCAAGTTCGCGAAGAATGTTGAGAATGGTGATTATGTCGCCATCAAGATTCTCGACCGGGAGCAAGTTCTTCGCCACAAGATGGTCGAACAGGTATGGTGGTTTTCTTTGTTTTATGGGTTTTTTTTTTTGTTGGTTGTTGATAAGTCAGATCCCTCGAATTGAGAGTTTATTAACGATGACGACGATGATGGCAGATTAAAAGAGAGATATCGACTCTGAAAGTTATCAAGCATCCGAACGTTGCTAAGATTTATGAGGTGCCATGATCAGTTTACCCTGATTTCATTTCCTTGTACAGTTCGACATTGTTTGTTTTCTTGTATAAATCACAGGTTCACGTACTCTCTCTCTCTCTCTCTATATATATATTTTTTAAAAATGTGGTTCATTATGCTTCAAGATTAAAATGAATTGGAAAGTTGGGTTACCACTAGTTTGGCATGAAAGGTTACTAGGATAAGCTTGAGTGAGCGTCGGATTGTTGGTATGGACTTCCTTCTCTTGATAATGTTGAATTGAACGCCGAATATCTAGGATTTAGTATCTTACCAATTTCCTTGGCAAACAAATGTAGTACTTCAAATAACTACCTCATAAGATTAGTCAAGGTATGTATAAGTTGGCCCAGATACTCATATTAAAAAAAAAAAAAAAAATCAATATTCAAAGTCAATGTATGAGATTGTAGTGGCTTGATTATTATGATGAAAGATACCCTACGTATGGATATACAGAGCCATTGTAAGATTAAAATTTGAGTGCGTTCATGGAATTAGTATTCGATTCTAATGTTTAGTTGCACTTTGACAGTCTTTTTGTTTGCACATTGCTTACCTTCTCTAGATTTAGCTTGGATTGTTGCCACTAGATTTGACCTTTTTTTATATAAGGTATATTCTTTCCTTTTTTTTTTCAATGAAAGTATGGTTTTCATTTTAAAAAAACAGTCCTGGATTCTTTATTTTATCTTATTGTTTTTTATTCTAATCTTCATTTGTAGCTCTTTTGGTTTTGTGTGGCTTTTGCCATTCTTTCCCATTTTCATAGATGATGGCCCCTGTAGTTGTAAATATGCACATTTTCTTCCCTTGGTATATATCTTAATTAGTCGAAAAGTTATATTTAGTATGTTGTAAGAGATTTTATATTGTTGTCTATGAAAACTTCATTCAAGTTGGTCATTAAAAATTCTAAAGGCAGCAACAAGACCGCATAATTTTACTGGATTACCGGTTACATTGGCTTTGCCTTCACTAAGGTGCTTTGCTTGATGATATAAAATTGTACTTTTTTTTACCCAGTTCTTACACTTTATAATGGTACATCGGGAGCAAGATAAATAGTAGTTTTATTTTCCCATTCTTTGTTCATAAAAGAGCAAGGGGTATAGATTCGTGTGAAAGACACTTTTCTTTATACATTGTTTTCAATTTTACGGTCAAACAAGTGAGAAGAAAATAAGATACATTTTGGATGCGTGAGTTTGAATTCTTCTGTTCATGTTGATAGGTTATGGCAAGCAAATCAAAAATCTACATTGTTCTTGAGTTTGTGGATGGAGGCGAGCTTTTTGACAAAATAGTAAGACAAAGTTGATGAGATTCATATTCATATTTGTATTCTACATCTGTACTTGGATGTTCTCTATAGATCCTTATCTAAATTTACTTTTATGACAATCTCCTAACCCAAGAGATTCTGTATTAACAGCCATTAGTACACTATTTAGATTTATTGGACATTTTTATTTTTAGGCCGCAAAGGGAAGGCTCAAAGAGGATGAGGCAAGGAAATATTTCCAGCAACTTATTAATGCTGTAGATTACTGCCATAGTAGAGGAGTGTACCATCGAGATCTGAAGGTATTAACTGATATCCTGATCTTTTTAGAAACTGAACTTAGCGTTTTCAATTAAAATGGTGGTGTTTACTTTATTGCTCTGTCTGCTTTTGCAGCCTGAAAATCTTCTTTTAGATTCACATGATGTTCTTAAGGTGTCAGATTTTGGATTGAGTGCATTTTCACAGCAAGTACGAGTGAGTATTACACATTTTTCCAGGGGTTCTTTCAACATTGTTTCTGTCCAGTATTCTGTGTTCTTCCTACAGCTTGATTATTCTCCATTTGCTGATTACTTCTTATTTTAACTTTAGTTTCTTACCTTGTGAGGAACAAAATTAAATAATGGAAATGATAGTGTAAGTAGGAGATGTTTGAAGCTTCTTCCCTGGAATATTTCTCTGAAAAGAAGTATTATAGTTTATATCAGATGTCTCAAATGTAGATTGAGATTGCTGCTTCCTTTTGGTATCAGATTTCACTCCTTTAGCCATTAGGCATTAGCTTTCTGTTTTATATAATGTCAAGGGATCATGAACACTATTGTTGCAGGGGGATGGTCTTCTTCACACTGCCTGTGGGACCCCAAACTATGTAGCTCCCGAGGTGTGCATATATGCTTCTTATTTCGATTATCCATTTGGGAGGATTTTGTATTTTGGTATCAGAATAAAGATTGTGAATTATAATTGTACAAAATGTGTGCTAAGTTTTGCCTTTGATTTGGATATACTACGTCAGGTCTTCAACGATAAAGGTTATGATGGTACATCATCTGATATTTGGTCATGCGGGGTCATTCTCTTTGTTCTTATGGCTGGCTTCTTGCCTTTTGACGAGCCAAATCTGATGTGTTTGTATACAAAAGTTAGTCTTTGTTTTGTTTTGTTTTGTTTTGTTTTTCCTACATATACAGATAGCGACTGTTCTCAGAGTACATATGATATGAAATTCAGATTTCGAAGGCTGATTTCTGCTTTCCATCATGGTTCTCAAATGGCGCTAAAAAACTTGTTCGCCGCATTCTTGATCCCCACCCTCTTACTGTAAGTTTATAACTCCTGTTTTAATTTACTCTCATTTTAGGTGTGATCTTCTGTATCTGTTTTTTCTTTTTTTCTGTCATGATCCGAAATAATAACATTCCTAGGTGCATGATTAGAGAGGAGGAATTGATGCCTCAAATATTGTTGTATGTCCAAAGTTGTGATTTTGGAGCAGAAAATGATTTAACTGTTACTTTGTATCTTGTTAAAAAAAAAAAAAAGATTTAACCATTACATTTTTCAAACTCTCATTTTCTTTCATTTCTCTGCAGCGAATAACGATAGCCGAAATTCAAGAAGATGCATGGTTCAAGAAGGGCTACACACCTGCTCAATTTGAAGTGGAAGAGGATATAACTCTCGATGATGTAGATGCCGCTTTTAGCAGCTCGAGGGTGAGAATTTTATTACAAAACAATGCCATTGAGCCACAGATTAATGTAGTGAAAGTGAGAGTCCAGATGCCCTCATTACTGGGATTATCAATATGTTTTGAAGCATGTGGTTGACTCACTCGAAGAATTAGCAGACCAGAAAATATTTGATAAGAAACAAAACCGCTAGGTTAAAGTATTCGTATAATTAAATTTATCCTACCTATCTGCCTAAACTTCTTGGTTAAATGGTGATTTAATATGGAGTCTTATTCACATTTCCTCCCCAACTAATATCGATTTCTACTTGTTAGGCCATCTACAAATTTTCAAGCCCACAAGTGAGAGGGGAGTGTTAAAGTTTTGATATAATTAAATTCATCATACCCATGAGCTTAATCTTTTGAGTTGATGGGTGATTTTAACACACTTATATCAAAATCCTTCCCTAAATAAAGTCAGTTCATAATATTTCTTAAATCTCCTGTTTTTCTTCTCCATGCACACTTGATTTAATCATATGAAGACTAAAGTTTCTTCTAAGTTGTTACTTTCAAATTTTTATTCCAGGAACATCTTGTGACAGAAAGAAAAGAGAAGCCAATGTCCATGAACGCTTTTGAGCTCATCTCTAGGTCACCTGGTTTCAGTCTTGAAAATCTATTTGAGAAGCAGAAGGTACTTATATAGTAGTATTTATAATAATTCTACGGTTAGTGAATTGATATCACATGTATCAATTGCAATGCACTAAGTTAAATACTTTTTTTTCTTGGGCTGTTGAATCTGTACAAGATACATTTACATTTTGAACTCTGATGTCAAATTTCACCTTAATTCTACCTAGCTACAACTTGTAAGCCAAAATTTTGCTGATGAAATGATAATATTGCAATAAATGAGCTGAGGATATCCTATTTCTTGTGAGGGGTATGTGCACCTTAGATTGGTTTGATGACTAATTAATTCTTTGGAGGACATCAGTGCTTTTGATTTAATTTCTTTTATTTTTAGACTGTTACAAAGAGAGAAACCCGTTTTACTTCGCAAAGTCCTGCAAACGAGATCATGTCGAAGATTGAAGAAACGGCGAAACCAATGGGGTTCAATGTACGAAAACGGGACTACAAGGTAACCCTATATTGACAACATGTGTAAGATTTGTATGTTTCTGAGATGAGTTTTGTTAGAACTCTTGTAACGAGGTTTGATGCCACTGCAGATGAAGTTACAAGGTGACAAGACTGGGAGGAAAGGACACCTCTCCATAGCTACTGAGGTATAGAAGATTACTGCTTAACATTATTAACCAATCTCAAACATCAAACTCGCTTCAATGCTATGCGAAAAGACGAGCTTCTAGGGAGTATTCGTTCAGAATACAAATAAATTGGCTTCATTGCCACCAATAGAGATTTATTTCAAGTTCTATGGCTTCCTGTCAACATCTGATCTGATGCCAAACATTTTTGCCCTTTGAACTCCAGGTGTTTGAGGTGGCACCTTCCTTGCATATGGTGGAGCTTCGGAAGACGAGTGGCGATACGCTCGAGTTTCACAAGGCACGTCAATCAGTATTCTTACTTGAAATTGGAAAGCAAATACATAATTTCAAAGCTAAATTATAGAAATGCCTGTATACTAATGTGCTTTTGGATTTGCATATGACAGTTCTACAAAAGTTTCTCTTCAGGATTGAAAGACATTGTGTGGAGAACTGATGAAAATACTGTTGAAGGGAGCTGATCTCTCTCTCTCTCTCTCTCCCCCTCCCTCCTCATAAGGCCGTTTTGAAGTTGATTCTTGAGATGCATTGCAGGTATCTCCTGTCGTCCAATCACCAACCTCGAAAAGAGAGGACTACATATTATAGAAGCCCAAGGAAATCTCTACTTTTTTTCTTGTTTCTCAAGAACTCGTTGAACACAGTAATTGTACAAATAATCAAAGTTTCTGTAATAAAAGATTGATTCAACACTAGTTTTGCTTTTGCTTTTGCTTTTGCTTTTGCTTTTGCTTCTGCTTTCATCATCTGATGGGTACATTTAGAGTATTAAGACTCAAAACAGAGCATGACTTGTAATTGATATGTACTTTGAGGTCGAAGTGTTTTTTTTTTTAAATTTATAAAAAAGAGCTCTAAATGCTTCCCATATATAAGCCTATTTCTTCAAATAAAAATAATCATAATTTATGCTTTAGTACACTCATCAACCATAAGTAAGAATTTCAAATTTACAATGAGAAAAATATTAGTATTTCGAATTTACAAGCAAGGTAGGAGAGAGAGAGAGAGAGAGAGAGAGACAGTAATCCTTGGGTTGATTGTGTGTCGTTAGAGGAATTTGCCTTGCCTCCGCAGTCCACCCCTAAACCGAAAAAAGTAAGCTTGGGCTCTGCCCTCTCTCTGTTCTGAGTGTCTGTGATTGGATAAACTAAACCCAAAAGAAAGGACTTGTTTTAAAGTCAATGGTCCCTTCTTGTTTGAGGCAATATGAAATAAGCACACGATAACAATATCATCAACTAATAGTAATAGCATCCTTCCAAAACAAACTTCATTTTTCAATAAAGTTAACACGAAACCGATAAGAGTAATATTGAGTAAGAAAAAGGTTTAAATTATTCATTCATATCTACAAACAAAAGAAAAGAAAAGAAAAGAAAAAGAGCTACATGGAATGGAAGTGACTCGGAGATGGAATTCCTGTTAGCATGGAACTATATGTTTCCACCCAAATAAGGCTGCCTACATACCCACAAGAGTGTGGACTGCGGAGAGAGGTGCCATTTAAGAAGATATGCAAATAAATATCTAACTACCACTCCCAAAACCACTACAATTTGAAAAGGATTTCTCCATTTATTAAGTTCCTTATTAGATATGTCTCTCTCCAACTTACCTGCAGAGGTGTATGGTTGTTGAGCTATCTCACCATTCTTGGAACTACTCCCATTTATTTGAGAACCACACCTCCTCCTTCCTTCCTTCCTTCCTTCCTTTCACTTCTCTGCTTTTCATATATATCTACTCTTGCTTGGTGCCGCCAAGTGCCAACCCCTCTCTGCCTCTCTACCTCTTCCCCTTTTTTTTTTCTCTGTGTTTCGCACCACCCAACCAGCTGGTAGTTTGAAAGAGGTGAAAGTCTTTGCCTTCATTAATTTCTGCCTCTATCCCTCTTCTTCTCTGAACTGCCTTCTCCTTGGATCTATATAAGCCTAAGATTTCAGAGAAGGCTGCACAAACACTAAGACTATATCACAGAGAAATTAGCAAGACAGATAATATGAATAGCATTGAGATGGATGCAGAGAGACTAACGGCAGAAATGGAACTTAAGGACTCCTCTTCCATCATCATCAGAATCCGGCAACGCTTGCCGGACTTTCTGCAGTCAGTCAAGCTCAAATATGTCAAATTAGGATACGGGTACTCATGCAACTCTGCCACTACTCTTATGTTTCTAGTCATTTTGCCTCTGTTTCTTTCCATTGCCATTCAGCTTTCCGGCTTCAAGCTCTTCCGGGTGTCTGACTTATTGCCCACCACAAGATTTCAACATGGGATTGATGCAACTACGGCCGTAGCCGGTTGTCTCTCGATACTTCTCCTTGCCCTCTATTGTTCCAAGCGATCCACACCGGTTTATCTGGTAGAGTTTGCCTGTCACAAACCAGAGGATGCGAGGAAGATGTCGGTGGACGGCTTCCTGGAGATGAGTGTAGAGAGCGGAGGCTTTCAAGAGGATGACCTTAAGTTCATGTCGAAAGTAGCAAAACGAGCCGGTCTTGGCGACGAAACCTACTTGTCGAGAGGAATTACTTCTCGGCCGCCGAATTTGTGTCTCGACGAAGCACGCTTCGAAGCAGAGACTGTAATGTTCGGCGCACTCGATGCTTTGTTCGAGAAAACCGGCTTGGACCCGAGTGAAATAGGAATTCTAATCGTCAATTGCAGCTTATTCAACCCCATACCATCGCTATCCGCCATGATAGTGAACCACTACAAGCTTCGAACCGACATTAAGAGCTATAATCTCAGTGGAATGGGGTGCAGCGCAAGCCCTATCTCGATTACACTCGCTAAGGACCTTCTCAATGCAAACCCTAATACTTATGCTGTCGTTGTGAGCACTGAAAATATAACCCTAAATTGGTACTTTGGCAGCGATCGGTCGATGCTGATCAGCAATTGTCTGTTTCGGATGGGAGGAGCCGCTGTGCTGTTATCGAACAAGCACAGCGATCGATCCCGGTCAAAGTACGAGTTGATTCACACGATTCGAACACACAAAGGAGCTGACGACGAGAGCTATAATTGCGTTTATCAGAGAGAGGACGAGGAGGGGAAAATTGGAGTTTCACTGGCGCGCGAATTAATGGCGGTAGCAAGTGAAACATTAAAGACCAATATTACGACTCTAGGTCCTTTGGTACTACCATTTTCAGAGCAATTGGCGTTCTTCGTCTCTATGGTGAAAAAGAAAGTGCTGAAAGCAAAAGTGAAACCGTACGTACCAAATTTTAAGCTCGCATTCGAGCATTTCTGCTTCCATGCCGGCGGAAGAGCAGTGCTGGACGCTATGCAGAAGAACCTCCAACTGAATGAGTGGCACATGGAACCCTCGAGGATGACGCTGTACCGATTCGGGAACACATCGAGTAGCTCGTTGTGGTACGAATTAGCATATACAGAAGCGAAGAACCGGGTGTCGAAAGGCCACCGGATATGGCAGGTGGCTTTCGGTGCTGGATTCAAGTGTAACAGCGCAGTTTGGAAGGCGCTGAGAGAAATTCCGGCGGCCGAGTGCGACCGAGTTAACCCATGGATCGACTCAATTGACGAATTTCCGAGGAAGGTCCTTGTTGAATAATGAAGATAGTGCGAATAAAGCCACGTGGGAGATTATGAACGCTTGTGGGGTCCTCTCTTTTAATGAAATAAAAACTGTCTATTTTATTATTATAATTTTTTTTTTTATCATTTTAAATCTCTTTATTTATTCCTCCTTTGAGGGAAACGTGAAGAAAGTGTGTGAATAAAAGTTAAATTTCGTTGAAAAATCAAAATATTATAAACTATTTTCACATTTTAGGATTAATTTCAAATTCAAACGTTTCCTATTTCTTTTAAGCTTTCAAATTATAATATTTCATCATTTACAATTTCATATAATTTTAATGAAACTTGTAGACTCCATTTTTTATTGTCTCCATTAAATTACTAATTAATTAGCTAATGATATATTAGTTATAGTTAATTAGTTAGTTAGGATTAGACATAATAAAAAGATAACTTTATTAATTTTCATTAATTTTTTTTATTTATTAAGACTAGTTTTAATTAACCTAGTTAATAATATATAATAATAATTCAAATTTAAATAGTAATTAATAATAACGAGCTATAATTAATAAACTTATTCAATATTCTATTGTAATAACTATTTTATATACATTCTTTTGAATAACTTTTTTTTTATTATCTTATTAATAATTGATGACGATTCCGTAAGATTTATAAAAATATCTTATTTAAAATAAGTTACTCATCATATACCATATTTAATTTTTGAAATAAAACAATTTAATTATTATACTAATTATTTAAAATTAAAGTTTTGATGACTAAATAAATTAAAATGGTTGGACCTACTTACCATAATCAAACATAAATATTATTTTTTATATGAAATTTTGATATTCTCTCGTAACACACGAAATACATATATTTAATTTCACGTATAATATTTTCATATATCATATTCTCAAATATCTTATTCTTAGACATCTCAAACAAATTTTCCGTAATATTTTAAATTTGAATTTAAAAATTAAAATTTTTATCTCATATAAATTTTATTTTATACAGTGATGTGCCAATTTGAGATTTATGACGTTTACGTGGCAAAACATAGGTCCCATGTGTGGAAAATCCCTCAACATTATTTGATGTGAGATCATAATGATTACATGATAAAAAAAAAAAAGTGACTTTATAGATGGTACTTCATGTTTATTAAAAACTATTAATATTTTTTAAAATCGACAAAATTTAGACTTGTCATTTTTTATAAATGAAAGTTAGTGTTAGGAATGAGAAATAGAATTGAGATGAAAAATGTATATTCTTATTGATATTCATACCCTTTAAATCGGATACAAGCTACCCGCCTATCAATAAGAAAAATATAAATTAATTAAATATTGATAATAAAATAAAATATACTATAAATCAAATTATAAAGAAAAGAATGTTAAGATATAATATCTAAGATATATTTCTAGACTAATATATTATCCAAATATTATATATTTAAATAAACATAATTTTTCTAGTTTGTTGCAAGCAACCTAACTTATTTTGAAAAAATGATTATAGAATGATAGGCGAAAACTATAGGTATGATGTTGTATTAATATAAAAAATTAAAGTTCTAATAACCATAAACTAACTCTACCCACTGCATAAATGTATAGTGTGACATATATGTACATATCCACATGTATAGTCGTGGGACTAACTCAATAAAGTAATTAAAGTCAAGGAAAGTCCTAATAATAAGGCAACTACCCATTAAATATGGTTTTTTTTTTTTTTTTTTTTAAAAAAAGTGTAAAAAAAAGTCATTAGTTTGGTAGCCAACCAAAACAGAATCGAATTTCATGCTTTATTTGAAACCTATTTATAAATTGAATTTTAATTTCAAATTTCAACCACATGAACCATAAAACTAGTGGAGTTACCTAAACCAATATTAATTACTTTATCACTTGTTTTATGTTAATTTTATAAAATACTTTAAAAAACATAACCCGGGTTGCTTAACAAACCAGAACCCTTGTTATTTAATGAGTTGAGTTGAATATACAGTATCAAGTTGAAAAGAAGACCAAGAAGAATGGGTGAGAGAGCAATTGCTTTGGTACACATAATTTTCCGAAAGCTAATAATAAGAATTGCCTTCAATTTGTTATTTCCTGTGACCATTAGGCTAAATCACTAATAGGGTCGATACCTTCTGCCACGGTTGGTTTCATCACCACTACTGCTACCTCCCGAACGACCTGCCGGTCCACCTGAGCCATTGCTCCTCTCACTTCTTCGAGGTCGAGACGGTGGCATTGGTACTCCGGGTTGCTGACTGCATGCACAGGTGACACACAATATACAATCTACTATCTTACATACTTATATACAAATGGATTTGAAGTCGAGCGAAATCTTACAGGACATAACCAATTCGACCATCTGGTAAAACCATCGGTACCATCTGCATTCCCGCTGGCATTGGCCCCCTACCATAAATCACTGGCTGTTCATGCAAGCAAGTCCATGAGATTAGTGTGGAATTCTTTTCTTTATTAAAGCCTTCTAGGTAAGAAAGTACCTGATGGAAGCCAGCAGTAACACCATACCCACCCAAGGAACCATATGGGTTTCCGCCATAACCACCGTATCCACCGTGAAGAATATGGTTGGGATTACCTCCAGATATGTGGGAATAGGCCCCATCTGATTTTTTATCACTTTGAGGCTTAGCAAGGACAACCTCCAACAGTTGGCCTGCAGATTAAAATCCCTGAACGTTATTCTTTGGGTTGAAAGAAAAAAGTTCAGACAAAGCATTTCTGGATCCCTTCTATCATCCTCTTTTCCTTTATAGAAACAACGTCAGATACAACTGATATGTTTAGACAACTTGAAATGTTGAAGACTTGTACTAAATGAAATTCCATATTTCAGTAAACAGAGAGAAAACACTGCAAAGAGAGCTATGAGAAAAGAGAGTGGGCCACCGGCCAAGTTCTGTCTGCAGCCTAATTTGAATATGTTCAACGTTTTTCTGTTAAGAAAAGGGGATATGATTGTGCATTTGAGATTTCAACTGTAAATCTCTGAAGATATAAAAACAAAACCTTCAATTTCATATTTCTCTGTCTCTTTAACAGCCTTCAATGCACTTGACCTCTCAGCATAATGGATGAATGCAAAATCCCGTTTGCTACTCCCAGCTTTGCCAGGTGGCATATTCACTTTTGTCACTTCCCCATGCTGCTGAAACAGTTCTTTCAATTGCTCGGTAGTAGTATTCTCAGGTATGTTTTTCACATAGAGAGCCTTCACCTGCGATCCATAATGTAGTACAACTTGTAATAAATTACTAGCACAAAGATATAAGAAGTCGGGCAGTCAATGCCAAAACATAACAATTCTTAATAGCTTTCACCAACAACGATGCAGTATTCAAACTACCAAGCGCTTTTTAAATATCTTCCTCTAAATTTGGAAACTAAATTCGAAGTATGATTCAATTCCTCCAAGTACATCTTAATACACAGGCATAAAGAGAACTGACGACAACCAATTCAAAGGTTACAGAGATAGAAACGATTGGTAACACAATCAATTCTTACATGCTCACCAAGGAGATGCACTCAGTGTTGTTGGCTAGAGAGAGGTTTCAAGAAGACAAGCCCAAAAATTTAGTATCCGTCATTCATCGCTAAATAGATTCTCATTTCCATTACACAGGCTTTTGAAAAGAATACACCGAACCCCAAACATCAGTGTTAGACCTTAATATCAATTAGCATACGGGTAGTACAATGGTTTGTCAAAAATGATAGTTAGAATTCGTTGAAGTTTGTCAGTGGCCAGCAGAGGATCGGTGGGGCGTGGCAGACTACTTTGTCAGAGTTTTGTACTAAGCTTGGCTCAAAGGTTCCTCGAAACCACCAAGATGACTGTCTTTCTACACACATTTCCTTTCAATAAAATGTTCCATTGACCAATCAATATAATTTTTTTTGGTTAAGATATCTGGTTCCCTTATTTAGTTATTGAAATTGAAGAAACAATACAGCACGACACATGAATTTTCTCTGCCCAAGAACCGTTTCAGTTTTAACTTTCAACCTTAGTACCACATTTGTCAACCAAATTCTAGTTGATACAAAGGTTCAAGGTGCTTGAAAAATGTCACGCAGATCCCAGAAAATTTTCTCCAATGATGATAACTTGATTACCTGAGCAACGGCAGAGTTATCAGGCATACTTTTTGGATCAGCCCAACTAACAGTTGGGGAATTTCCGTCCAGCTTAAAATTCACATTCGACATTTTCTGCCTTGAATAATCAGCACATGCATTGTTATAATACAGAACAAATGCAAATCCACGATTTCGGCTTGGGTTCTGAGGATCCTGAAATAGTTTATACAGACAAAAGAACATAAAGCCTCAATAACTATCAATTTCTAAGAATAAAATGTATAAATTTGCAACTCCACCTTGATAAGCTCAATGTTTTCAACTCCAGGGCCAACTCCTTCTATAAGTCTCCTAAACTCATCCTCTGTCCAACTTTTTGGGATATTACCAATAAATAGTCTGTGCTTAGAATCAGACAGAGAACACCTTATCGTTTTACCCTGTAGTGTGGAGGATGACTAAAATCAGTTTAAATTTATTGATGATGAATATCTGAAAAAAAAGCAGCTTTGAAGTTGCTGAAACATAATAAAGTAATAAGACCATCAAAATCTTAAGGAGTCCAACATTACCTTGACTTCTTTACCATGTAAATCCTCTATAGCTTTTTGTGCCGCCTCTTTTGTTTTAAACAATATAAAAGCATAACCTTTGCTTTCACCAGAATCTCTGTCCTTTATTATCCTTATCTGCAAAACAATTGTATTACAGAACGTACCTCTAAAATCGAAGGCCCAGAGAAAGAACGAGAAAGCATGAGAGAAAATAAACACCACTCCAGACCTCAAATATTTCTCCTAGTGATTCACACAAATCTCTCAAGTCATCTTCTGAAACATCACGTGAAAGTCCACCAATAAAAATTTCAGATCCATGAGGAGGAAGAGCAAGAAGCTGAGCATGCTTCTCTAGATCATCTTCATCTAATAAAGAAGTAGACTTCTCTATCTTTTCTATAGACTCTATGGATGCGTTATTTCTACCATCTCCAGAAAATTTATCTTCTTGGTTCGTGCCAATTCGAGGCTCTTCACCTACTTCTTCAACATCATATTCGGGATGTTCACCGTCTCTCCTATCTACTCCATCCTCATCAACATGTTCTTCCACATCATCATCTATCTCTTCCATGTAATTGTCCTCTTCAAGATCCACCCGCTCCTCGACTTCTGAACCATCAGCCATGACTGCTTTATGTCACAGATATTGTCATTCAACAAATAAACTTGATAAGCACAAAATCACCTGTAATGTAGTAAATGTATCTGAGATATAAATATGGGTATGAGGGTACCAGTAACTGGTGGAAGGAAAAATATTAAATGATCAGAATGAAAGCCTGCCCACTTCAGTTCGTGGTGAACATATCTAGAAGCAACATTATTTGGAGTCCAGATTAGTTTTTATGAACAAGAATCAGAAGATTTAAGAATTTTAAAAGTAATTTCCACAGTGCTCGCTCAAAGATGATGAAATTCAAAAAACTAATACGAACAGACTGAGGAGAGGAAATATGATGCATGCACACAGAATTAAGAAATAAAATCTATGGGCACGTAAGCCTAACTCATGTTCCGTCGACCAGTGTACTTCGTTCCAAAGACATCTCAGTCTCACGACACAAAAGAAATAAAACATGGCCCTCAGTATGCAAATCGGACAAACAGAAAACAAAGAAATGGAATAAGAAAGGCGAATAAATCACGTTGGGAGTCTTGTAAGGCATACCAGTGAAGTGGAGAATTGAGGTGGTCGTGAGCGAGTCCTGCTTTGTGTATCTGGGCTGGTTCCTATTTCCGCCTCGGAGAAAATGGAGAATCAGAGCTGGGTTAAATCTCCCAGAATGAGTTCGAAGCCCCTCTGGGCCGAAACGACGAGGGCTTCTTCAAGCGCATGGGCTTAACTGGAAGCGAAATCTTCCCTCTAGTTAAACGTCGTCGTCATCTTCCTCGCGCGCGTAGCTTCTCCCTTCTCTGTTACCGATTTGTGCCGCGAAATGTCCAAAAAAGCCTTTCTATGCCAAAAATAGCAATTCCATACTTGATTTCACGCAACTACGCTGTAAAACTTTCCTCAAGAAAAATATAAAATTTAGGGTTTATTGAATATTAATTTTTCCTTTTTTCTATTTATAAAATAATTTAGGGTTTATTGAATATTAATTTTTCCTTTTTTCTATTTATAAAATAATTTAGGGTTTATTGAATATTAATTTTTCCTTTTTTCTATTTATAAAATAATTTAGGGTTTATTGAATATTAATTTTTCCTTTTTTCTATTTATAAAATAATTTAGGGTTTATTGAATATTAATTTTTCCTTTTTTCTATTTATAAAATAATTTAGGGTTTATTGAATATTAATTTTTCCTTTTTTCTATTTATAAAATAATTTAGGGTTTATTGAATATTAATTTTTCCTTTTTTCTATTTATAAAATAATTTAGGGTTTATTGAATATTAATTTTTCCTTTTTTCTATTTATAAAATAATTTAGGGTTTATTGAATATTAATTTTTCCTTTTTTCTATTTATAAAATAATTTAGGGTTTATTGAATATTAATTTTTCCTTTTTTCTATTTATAAAATAATTTAGGGTTTATTGAATATTAATTTTTCCTTTTTTCTATTTATAAAATAATTTAGGGTTTATTGAATATTAATTTTTCCTTTTTTCTATTTATAAAATAATTTAGGGTTTATTGAATATTAATTTTTCCTTTTTTCTATTTATAAAATAATTTAGGGTTTATTGAATATTAATTTTTCCTTTTTTCTATTTATAATTATTTTCTAAATGTTCTCTACTTTTCTCCGAGTTTCGCTAGTGAAAAGAGGAACCGACCCAGATACTGAAAACAGGGCTACCTCATACTCCAATTCTTGCAGCCTTCTCGATTCTACACTTCACTGGTATGCCTTGCAAGACTCTCTCTGTGATTTATTCGCCTTTCTTTTTCTATTTCAGACCTGGGGTCTTCACTTTTCAGTCCTGTCGAGATGTGCTATCGATTCGTTTTCAGCTCGAATTGCTAATATTTATGTGTACCTTTCCTTTTCCTTTCCGACTGTTGGCTTCTTGGAATGTGCGTGTTGGCGACATATATCCTGCTTATTCGTGTTTATATCTGATATTTCTCCCGTTGTAGGTGTGTTTGGATTTTTGCAATCCCCATTCCTTTCTCGCTTTGTCTCTTGCCATTTTGATTCTGTGACCCGCTTATTGGTTTTCCGTTTGTTTGGTTTGTTGGGAGCCATGTTTTACTGTTTTGTCTTGGGGTTGGGATGTCTTTGAAACGAAGCACTCTGGTCGGCGGAACATGAGTTGGGCTTATGTGCCCATTGATTTTATTTCCTAGTTCTGTGGGCACACATCATATTTCCTCTCCTCAGCCCGTTCGTTTTAGTTTTTACTTTCATCATCTTAGAGCAAGCTCTGTGGAATTTACTTTTAAGATTGTTAAATCTTCTGATTCTTTTTCATAAAAACTAATTCTGGACTCACCCATGTTTTCGTTCTGATCATGTTAATCTTTTTCATTATCCTTTTACTCGTTACTGATGCCCGCATACCCATTTTTGTAACTTGAATGCATTTACTATATTACAGGTGATTTTGTACTTGTCAAGTTAGTTTGTTGTGTGACACTATCTGCGATTTAAAGCAGCCATGGTAGATGGTTCAGCAGTTGAGGAGTGGGTGAATCTTGAGGAGGACAATTACATGGAAGAGATGGACGATGCTTCATTGAAACACGAAAATGTAACTATTGACCGAGAAAATTGATTCAGTGATTAGAATTTCATTGGCAGACTGCATAAGAAGAACGAGATTAAGACTTGAGAGTGACGTGCCGCGTTGTCGACAATCATATTGGTGCTTCTCAGACTGGAAGTTTCCCCATTCACTGTAGCCTATCTTCACACTTCCGACTGTGATGTCCAGGTAGTACAGCTCGCCTTCTCTCATCTTGATCAGTAGGCACATTCCATTTTTGTATGTACTCTGGTTTTCTCTCGGAACTTTCCACAAACACTTGGAGCTTGTAACTTTTTCCACAAGATGTGGAAACTATGACCTGATTTTTGCAGATTGCTTCTAGCTTACTATGTGGAATGGAAGAATGAGATCAAAGTTTTGCGCATTGTCGCTTCTGAGTCATACATATTTCAGTTGCTCTTCTGTTAAATCCACCCAACATGTTGTGCGCAGAGCTCTTACCAGTGGTTTTAGTTCATGGCCTACTCGCATTCATACCGTCTACCCTACTACTGCATTGAACTCCAATGTTGGGGATCTTTTCTCCTCTGGCTTTTGTTCTCGCTATTATAGCTCTCCGGGTTCAAACTGCGATATTTTGAATATGCCTTCAGAAGAATCTAGTCAACATGCAGCCAATGATGATCATGTTAGTGACGATGATGATGATGATCGAGAAGAGCAGGAAGAGGATAACATGAACATTGAGAAATTGAACATCAATGACAAAGGTGTGATACGAGATGTGGATGCCATTATGGATATATTTTGTGGGTTTCGGAATGAAGATCGAATTCAAGTAAAGAATAAGCTTGAGCATTGCTGTATTAAGGTCTCAGGGGAGTTGGTAGTCGCAGTACTTTCTCGGATCCGTAATGATTGGGAAGCAGCATTCACTTTTTTTGTTTGGGCTGGTAAGCAGCCTGGCTATACCCACTCTATACGTGAATATCATTCAATGATTTCAATTCTTGGGAAAATGAGGAAGTTTGACACGGCATGGGCCTTGATCGATGAGATGAGAGGAGGGACAACGGGGTCTTCTCTTGTGACACCTCAAACTCTACTAATCATGATTAGGAGATACTGTGCCGTTCATGATGTTGGTAAAGCTATAAATACCTTCCATGCTCATAAAAGATTCGGATTCAAAGTTGGACTAGAGGAATTTCAAAGCCTTCTCTCTGCCCTCTGCCGTTACAAAAATGTGAAGGATGCTGAATATTTACTCTTCTGCAACAAAGATGTGTTCCCGTTGAACACAAAGAGCTTCAATATTGTCCTCAATGGATGGTGCAATATAATTGGCAGTCTTCGCGATGCAGAGAGAATTTGGAGGGAGATGACGCAGAGGGGTATCGGTCATGATGCTGTCTCATATGCAAGTATAATTTCTTGTTACTCAAAACTTCGCAACCTTTATAGGGTGGTCAGGCTTTTTGACAATATGAAGCAAATGAAAATTGACCCTGATAGGAAAGTCTACAATGCAGTCATTCACGCTCTTGCCAAAGGTGGGCTTCTGAAAGAAGCTATCGATCTCATAAAAACAATGGAGGAGAAGGGCATTATTCCAAATGTTGTTACTTATAACTCGGTTATCAAACCTCTATGCAAGGCCCAGAAATTTGATGATGCTAGAGTGGTTTTTGAGGAGCTGTTGGAGCGGGGCCTCTGCCCGACAATTCAGACATATCATGCGTTCTTGAGATTCCTGAGAACCGAGGAAGAAATATTTGAGGTATTGGAGAAGATGAGAAGAATGGGGTGCAATCCAATCACTGAAACCTACATAATGCTGATCAGAAAATTTTGCCGATGGCGGCAGCTTGATATTGTTTCCAGAATATGGCATGAAATGAGTGAAAATGGAATTGGTCCTGATCGCAGCTCTTATATTGTCTTAATACACGGTCTCTTCTTGAATGGGAAACTAGAAGATGCATATAAATACTATTTGGAAATGAAGGAAAAAGAGTTGCTTCCTGAACCAAAGATAGATGAGGTACTAAAAGCTTGGCTTGCTGGTAAGCCAGTGATTCAAGGCTACATGAATGGTTCATCAGAGAATCCATCAGATTCTTCTGGGGAAGGCAAGAACTCGAACTCGAACTCAAAATTGTTCCCCAAAAAAATTGATTTTCACAGACAACCTGAGATCAGAAAGGTTGCAAGAGATTCTGGTTTTTCATTTTGGAAGCAGTAAGATTTTGTAGTTTATCTTATCCCATCGACCTCGAGGATCAAATGGATTGTTACACGACTTCAACCGTTCATCTGAGGTTTGCTTCAGGTGCCTTCAACCTCTCTTTTCGTCTCACTGTGATCCTTTTTCCTTCCATTACACCGCCAATGCTTTTGTGCAGTTCAAGTGCTGAAGACAGTTGCGAAGCCTAGTAAACTTCTTTACACATGCCCGGATCCTAAGAGGTTAGAGGTACTAATCTTCAGACCGCACATGTTTATTTGCTTTTGTAGCGATGTCGATATATGAGCTGTTTGAAATCGGCCATAGCAAGGCAAAACTTGGCCATTTTATTTATTATGTACCTCAAATCCCGTAGCATTTGAATCAAATATCCAAGCACATGAACCCATCCTTTGGTAAACATCACTCGATGATAGCGACATTATTCAAAGCTCCCAACTAATTCTTTCCATTAAAATTGTGGAAATTTGTTACAAAAAGGTTGGATATCAAATAAATTATTGTTTTATTTATATATTGCACACACTAATTACTCAAAGAGAATCAATAAGATTAATTTGTTTTAAGTTAATATGGTAAATTTTCAATTTTGTATTTATTATATTTTTTACATTTACTAAAAAGAAATATACGTTAAGTCTTATATAGGCACAGTGCAATATTTAAAAAAAAAAAATCCCAAATATTACAAAAAAAAAAAGGTGGGGGTAAATTTGTTAATTCTTTGTTTCAAAAATAAGACAAAATGACGTAAATAGAAGGCAATCGCAATTGAGAGATGGAGCAAAACAAGTAAAGACCGACTTCTTTTAAGATCCGTCCATTAAACTCTCGGTGGTATGCTTTCGAGCAACCCGATCAAATTTTTCTTCTCTCCGACTTGAGAACGATTTCCTGATGATCTTTTACTATTACCCATCTTCAAGTTTCCTCTAATTCTGTAGCTTACAGGCATCCCTCTTGACGACGATGGAGCGTTGGTGTGGAATTTTGAAGGTTCCATTGCATCCCCAGAGCCACAAGTTTTATCGAGTTGCTGCATCACTCTGTCTTTCCCCGACTTCCAAAACATTGACTGTAAGTTCCCGATGCTCGAAATGCAATTGTATTCTGGAATTTCCTGCCATGGGGGGTATTTAACTTTTTATAATATCTTCCATGCTAATAGATGCCTCATGCGAATGCCATCCTTTTTAATGGGGATCGGGTCGAAGGGACGGGCAATCCAGTGATTGAGAGATTGTCTGATCTGCAGAACATAGCCGATATTTTAGTTTCGAAATTTGGAGACTCCACTAATGCATGGGTTATTGAGGCTTCTGATTTCAATGGGCCTTTTGCTATATATCATGATTTTATGCATTCTCTCAATCGATGGGGAGAGCCAAAATCATATACTGCAAATGGGTTTCCTGCTTCAGTGTCAACCCTCTCACTTTTGGGAAGTTGCTACAGTGAGGTACGATCCAAATGGGTTTGTTGCTTGTCATTTTATTCCAAATGGGTCAAGTTTTGAATTTCTCACCTCTTGATCAAAACATACGTCTAAATTGGTTGAATCATATCTAGGGAAGATTCAAATCATGACTTCATAGTGGATAGTGTATAACTAAACTTAGCTATGGTCAGAAAAGATTTGGTTCTCTAATATTTTATTTGATGGTGTATGCCCAAACCAAGATTTGAATCTCCAATCTGTTGGCCGTGAGTATTTCTAAATCAAATGGGTTATGTTTTGGTTGGTTTCTGTATGTGATTTTGCTGTGGACTAATTCACTATGTTGTGGATCTGACAGGTAAAGAAGATAATTTCAAGGAGAAACCAAGGATCTCCGGAAGCCACCATATCCACACTAGGATGCAGCACGCCCAAAACAATCATTCTTGGATTTAGCAAGGGTGGTACTGTCGTTAACCAGTTAGTTGCTGAACTTGGCTCGAAGGACTTGATAGCTGCTGATGAGAATCCACCTCATTCTAAGCAAGCACCGGGTGTTGAATGTTCAAAACTCGACGAGGTTCAGTTCATACCCAATACAGAACAAAGCTTTTTGAAAAGCATAACAGAGATTCATTATGTGGATGTTGGGTTGAACTCTCATGGCGCATACTTCACAGACCCTGAGGTAATCAAAAGAATCTCCAATAGCCTTGTCCAGGAGTCGAGAGGAATCCGTTTCATTCTTCATGGTACTCCTAGACAATGGTGTGACAGCAGAAGAGTTTGGATACGAGATGAGAAGGAAAAAATGTCGAGTCTTCTTGAATCCGAAGCTCGGAGAAGTGGAGGAAGGTTGCAGGTTTGTGAGAGATTTCATTTTGCTGATAGGCCCGCGGACATGCAGATGCATTTTGAAATAATTGAAAAGTTGGATGTTTGCTGATGGCTCTGTTGTCAGGTCGCTGGAAAATCAAGAGTTCTGAACATATCCTATGTAGTTCGTTGTACAAAATGATAATGTTTCTAAGTTGAAGTACTTGTTAACACTTGCTTCATCATTGAGCACTTCAATATAAATATCTTTATTAATGCTAGTAGACCCCATATTACTGTAACAACTAATAAATACCACTGTGGTTAATGCTATCTTTCATATTAACATAATTAATGAATATTTGCAGCATGTACAAATAATCGAGTTGATATGTGCAGATGAGAGCATGGCATGGAAATATACATTAGTAGAACAAAGAAGGATTAACAACATATTCTAACCTCCACCTAACCTGTTGCTTTCCTACGCTGCTTACTCGAACCAGTTTTTCGCCTTCCTCCCCGCTTTCTAGTTTTCTTAGGGGATGAAGTAGGTTTTGTTTTCTGCACCATGTTGGGCTCCTTGTTCTTTGAGGTCAAGTCAGCTTCAGAAGTGATTTTCTGCTCCCCTAATTTCTGAACCTTGCCGGAAAATTGCAACTCTTCCTTCACTGCGGAATCTTGCATTACAACTTTCTGAGTCTGCAAACATACAAATCAGGAGTTCCAATGCTCAGAACTATCCTGTTTCTTTTGTTTCGTTAAAAATAAATAAATATAAGAGGAAACTTACAATTCCACAATCCACGTTCTGCATCATAGCAGGAAGTAGCATGACCTCTCCATGAGTTTTAATTGCAGTTTCGGGCATAAGTACATCTAACGCATGCTCGGATATGAGTTGTGATGCTTCATGCAAAGACCTAACTAAGTCCACGTTTCCATCTTCGGGTGAAGCGGGATCATCAGTTGATGCAAGAAAGCATAGCTGATTGATTGAAGAGAATTTCATGGGATTTTCAGTCACCACCTTCTCAATTCTGTTCTTCAACTCGTGAACTTTTGACTGTGCAGCCTCGATTTTTAGAAAGATGTCTTCCAAATAATTGTCGTTATCTCCCCACATAGAAGGTGCCCATCCATCAGTTGCCATTGCTCCGAAGTCATTGATGTCATCACGTTTCATATTCCTTGTTTTGTCTGTAGAGAACAGGGCAGAGAATCAATGGCCTACTAATCGCTAACATGAGCCAGGAGCTCTTCAAACATAGATAGTCATTTCAAACAAAAAAGGATATCACATACCCCAAGAAAAATGTAATCATAAGATACAATGTACAGAACTATGCCATCCAACAGTCAAAAAGTAATATTACGATCAACTTCACTTACCTAATTTAGAAGTATCTTCCAAAGACATGTCATCAGCAAGAGACCTCTTCTTCTCTGGAGTAACGAAAGAAGACTGCCATGTCACAGAGGGAGACAGAGACAGTAGGGAAAAAAGCATTGCATAGAAATAGTTGAGGAGTTGATACCATAATAGGAGAACAGATTATGATGCGCCATATATGAAGCTACTTCAGTAGTCTCTTCACTTTTCTTCCTTCTCTTTCTTTTCATAACCCTGTGTCTCTGAGTGTGACTTGAGAATCCTGTTGACTTCACATCTAAACCTTCCGTTGAGAAGTGTTCGTAGACAGACTGCTTTCTTTGATCAAATAATGCAAGTTCTCTGTCGTATTTTAATGATTGAGACTGAAGTTTCTTAATTTGCAGTTCTAACCATCTACACCGCCACATAAGAGGACTAATAAACTTCCTCCAGTGAACTGTCAACTTTTTCTTCCTAGAAAGTAAGATGCACGTATAAACACGTGAATATCATATAAAGTTGAGGAGGGAGAGGATAAAATATTTGAGGGATATGTAAGATTGATTGTCTTGTTGAGCTGTATCTGCCCTAGTCCAACAATACATATTTCAAAAGGAATTCAACTCAAATTTAGAACATTTTGTTTTGATAAAAGGAAAATCAAACTTTCATCGAGAAAGTAAGGAAGAAATACAAGAGGGCCAACAATGGCCATAATAAAACAAAGACAGTAAGGACTAGCCCAATGAACAAGAAAAATGATCCGATATAAGAGAATACAGCCTAACGAATAATTACATAAATATTCAGAGCCTTGCTTGAGTTATTAAATCTAGCTAAGGATCAAACCTCCTCCATATCCTCTTAAGATTCCGTTTGTTCATTATAAGAAGGTTTGCATTTAATAAAATTGTAAACATCATGAAGCTATGGAGAAATATTTTCATCGTTAACAAGGCTACTTATATTAAAAAACAAACCCTACATTATGTTTTATGAAGGCTACTTTTCCCTTACAACTGACAAAGCCGAATGACCGTACTACACATAAATTCCTTTTCTATCCCTCCTAGAAGAAGTATGCATAAAAATCATCGGGCTAGAAAGAAATTTAAGCAATTATTGAACTAAAGCTTTCACGCAGCTGTATTTGATTCGAGCAACTATTGCTATCCTTTGGGAGATTGGTTGGACAAAGATCATAGAACCTCCAGAGACAAGGGCTTGAATTCTCTTTTGATAAGGCTATTTCCTAAGCTTCTGAATGAAATTCATTAGCGGAGTATTGCAGATATATGAGTCTACTGAAAAATCCCAACTCAAAAGTAAAAGAGATGAAGAAGCTGCACACGATTTTTTATGCTTGAAGCAAAGACCAACAAAGACAAGAATCTTTTTTAATCAATGTTAACGAGAAAGAAGAACCTAAAAGTGGTATGACTCTAAGCAAAAAGCTCAAGGAAAAAAGATAAAGAGCTCGATCTCTATACACCATGGATGGTATATGGAAATCAGTTTCCATATGCCTTGGTCTGGAGCCCCTTCTTGTAGTTTGTTGCCTTTTTTTGGAGACATTTTTTTTATGTCTTTATAATTTTTCATTTTTTCTCAATAAAAGTTCGGTTTCTCATAAAAAAAATGAAAATCAGTTCTCAAATTATTCATCTACCAATAGCACACATTTAAGCATAAAGAAAAGTGAAAAGAAAAAATGCAGACATGCGAAAAGAAAATGTACTACCTTGGAAATACTTCGCTGTATCCATCAGACATAGGCTGCAAATTATTATCACCATATAAATGGGATTCAACTTCTTCGTCATCCAATAACAAACCATAATCTGTTCCAGATATAGTATCTCCAAACGAGCTTGAATTTTCCGTTGAAACATTGCGTTCATTACTAGGACCTCCCTCACAATAATCTGTACACCCAATAATATCAAGCTCCATATCCTCACTTCTATCTAACATCATAGTTTGTTTACAAGAGGGAGCTTCCATGTCACGAATGTTTTCCTGACCACTAATTGCACTCTGCATATCTTGAGCAGCATTTCTGTCCTCCACACAAACCTCCATCAAAGCTTCCTCCTTCACTTTTGATCAATTTTCAAGTCCCATGCTATTGTAGGCCCAATTAAGGCACTCTTGAGAGCAATCAGGCAATTACATCTAAACAAATGAACAGCATCAGAATGCAATACACGTACACCAATACTTATTCAGAGTCAATCACAAGTAACTAAAGTACATGAAAATATTTCAAGCTTTCCAAATGAGAAAAGCATAAAGGAAGACTTAAATTGAAGGTCCAAGAATTTATTGTAATTTATCGGTTGAAATTGAAAATACAGAAAGAAGAAATTCACTGATGATGCATTTGGTGGCCAACATAGTAAGAACTCATCCTTGCTTGTTTAAAATCCATGAGCGCACGACAGAAAGCATTCAAAAAGAAGAAGAAGATGAGGAAAGTAGTCCTTACCTCACTGTCAATCCTTCTTCTCGGAAAGTGAGGGAAAATAAACGAATAGATTGAAAGCGCAATAAACGCGTAGATTATATCGCCAAAATAAAAGGGCCCAATTAGTGAACGGTATCATAAACCACAAAAGCCTGCGGGAAGAAGATCGCATAAGAAAATAATGGGCAAAGAAAAGCATTCACAGTAAAAAAGGACAACTGCCATTACACTCCGATCAAAAACAGTCCATTCAAGTTCAAAAGGAAAACTTCAAAAAGGATTATCGCCACCGAGACTCTTCAGCAAATAGAACATTCTTCTCAAAACGAACGCCAAATTAAAACTTAATTGAATTTCTACAGCATCCAAATTACCGAAATCCAGGAAATCAGAAGTGTGAGTGTCCCATACTGACTTAACTTGTTACAACAAAAAGAAAACCCTGTTCTTCCCAGTTCTCACTTTTGAACGAGTGAAGGAAAAACCCATCTGGGTTTCATCAGATTTAAGAAGGACCAACCTGGGTTTGGCGGTCGACCGATTTCGCGCGGTTCTTCCCGTGAATCAGCGAGAAAATCGAAAGGAAACGCAGGGTCGGGATAGCCGGCCGATGACTGGGTGAAGTCAGATCCGGTAAACTCAACGGAAAAGGAAGCGAAAGAGGAGGAAAAGAGAACGGAATTGAGCGAGAACTGTACAGTCAAAACGGGGGAAGAATTTACGTCCGAACAAAACAGAAACACCGCCAAATTTGCGTTCTTTATATAGTTTTATGATGCATAAAATGGGCCCCATTATGTCTTAACCATGGGGTCCACCCTCATGTTTTTTCACATGATTTTTCCTTTTTTATTTTTTCTCCTTATCCCGGGTTAATCCGTTTGGTTACGATTTCCATACTAAACCTATCCCGGGTTAATCTGTTTGCTAAACCTATCCCGGGTTAATCTGTTTGGTTACGATTTCCATACTAATCCTATCCCGGGTTAATCTGTTTGGTTACGATTTCCATACTAATCCTATCCCGGGTTAATCTGTTTGGTTACGATTTCCATACTAATCCTATCCCGGACCCTCAACATAAATTCATCCCGTTTCTGACAATATTGCCCTTATTTGTCACACCACCACAAAATTCGATTCTCGGTATATATATATCTTTTTCCATTTCAAGGAGGAATTTAAGGCTATCTGTAAAGGAGCTCATCAATATCATAATCTCAACTATTTTTTAGGATAGGTGTAGTGAATGGACAACAGTTAGATTCATGTTTTATCATAATCAAAATCTTCAAAAACATGTTTTTTTCAAGTAACGTGGTATATATTTGATTTCAACCCCAGATTTTCCATCTCAGTTCATTCAAATTGTCACCAT